GTACAGCTATGTGCTCCCCTTATTTAGGGCAGGTTTTTATGTTACAGTCTAGCCCTAAGAGAGTGGAACTGATGATTGTTGACTCAGTAAGGGCCAGATTCTGATACCCTACTGCTTTTGGAGTAAGGAACTATTCCTGAACAAGGGTATCAAAACATGGCCTTAAGTCTGGACCAATTAGATTGGTAGAATAAGAATAGGCCTGACCCTCCCCCTGACTTGAATTTAACCCAGCACTTAATTTTATTTTACTTTTAAAGGTTCAGTTCACTTTCAAAGTGTGCATATGATTTTCTCTTGCCTTGGCACTTCTCATTTCATACTGAAACTAGAAGTGGAAATAGTGAGATACTGTGAGAGACTTTTTGTGGTATTTCTGGGCTGACTGGAAACAAAAATGTTCATTCTCTTGAGATTTCCACCCCTGTTTTTCAGACTCAGGAGGTTGGATAGTTCAGGTAATCCAGACTTTTGGGATCACGTGAAACCGGACTGTACTTCTAAACCTGTTGAAGCTGATAGAGAAAATAATAAAAGTGGCAAAGAAAAGTGATATGTTCAGTAGAAGAAATTAGCAATATAAGAGGAATTACATTGAAAAAAAACATGTTAAAAGAATGTTTCCAGGCTACAAAGCCAACCACTCAAAAGTTAGAAAACCAGAATGTAGACCAGGGGTGGGCAAACTATGGCCTGCAGGCCACATCCGGTCCATCAGAGCATTTAATCTGACTCTCAGCTCCTGCTAGGGAACGGGGTTGGGGGTTTGCCCCCCTCTGGTGTTCCAGACGGGGAGTGGGGCTGGGGGCTTGCCCCGCTCCGAGTGGGTCCCAGGAAGCAGCTGACATGACCCCCCTCTGGCTCCTATGTAGTATGCGGAGGCGTGGCCAGGCGGCTCTACGCGTTGCCCCGTCCACAGGCTCCGCCCCTGCAGCTCCCATTGGCCGGGAACCACAGCCAATGGGAGCTACAGGAGTGGCACCTGTGGATGGGGCAGCGCGCAGAGCCACCTTGCCGCACCTCAGAGCCGGAGGGAGGACATGCTTCAGGGAGCTGCTTGCGCTAATCACTGCCCAGAGCCTGCACCCCTGAGCACACCCCCCCCGCGCCCCAACCCCCTGCCACATCCCTGATCCCCCTCCCACCCTCTGAACCCCTCGATCCCAGCCCAGAGCCCCCTCTTGTACCCCAAGCCTCTCATCCCCAGCCACACCCCAGTGCCCGCACCCCCAACCAGAGCCCTCCCCCCTCCCCCCGCCCCTGTACCCCAACCCTCTGTCCCAGCCCTGATGCCCCTCCCGCCCTCTGAACCCATTGGTCCCAACCCAGAGCACCCTCCTGCACCCCAGAGCCTTCACACCCCCTCATCCCAACCCTGAGTCCCCTCTCACACCCTGAACTCCTCATTTCTGGCCCCACCCAGGAGCCTGCACCCCCAGCTGGAGCCCTCACCCCCTCCTGCATCCCTACCCCCAATTTCGTGAGCTTTCATGGCCCGCCATACAATTTCCATACCCCAATGTGGCCCTCAGGCCAAAAAGTTTGCCCACCCCTGCAGACTGCCTATGCATACTTAATTCTGCCCCCTTATGCATGAGCATTAGCTAAGTAAATTTAGGAGCCTAAATCTCACTGAAAGTCAGTGGGATTCAGGTTCTGAAGTCAGATAATTTTAATCACAATTCAGTTACATGATCACATACTATTTTTGCCATAGGACCCTGCCTCATTCAGTGGAGAGGATGGACAGTGCTTAGGGAATGAGGCAGATGTTCAATATTTTTATCTTCATTCAGCTAGTGACCCCTGCCTTATTTACTGAGTACTGTGCAATGAATGCAGAATTATTCATGTCCTCATAGTGTTTTCCAGGGCGATCCTCACTATAATATCCCCATGCCTCAAAATTAATGAATTTATCTTTTACTGAAAGATGAGAGATTTATTATTCTAATTTTACAGATGAGGAATCTGAAACAAAAAGACTTGCCTGAGGCCACACAGTAAAAAAGTGACAAAGCTGGGATTAGAATTCAGGAATACCTGACTCCCAACCCAGTGTTCATTCCTCCAGACCACTGCTAGAGATGCTGAGAGCAGCTACAGTTCCCATGAGATAAGGGTTCTGTGGGGAAAAAATAGTATCTGATTGTATAAATAAAGGCTGTATCGTAATATTTACACACAAGGGGGCTGAATTAAGATTTCACAGGCAATTGTAGAGCTGGCATTTCCTAACTTTTGAGTGCTTGACCTTCCAACCTTAACATTATTTTAGCATTTTTTTAATGTAATGTCCTAGATTTTTTATTTTTATTTTAATGGAAAAAGATACAAACAAATTCTATCATGGGTAACTGTAACTCCCCCACCCCCACCCCCAATCAGGTTTGGCTGCATTATAAACTTTTGAAATTCCTTCCATACGTATGATTTCCATTTCTATGATCATGCATCATCAACGCGGTTTGAGCCCTGACTCTTCAGCAGTGCACTAGTGCTTGAGCTAACTACACTGGTTATCAGCATGATAAGACTGATACTCAGGGGCAGGGAGCGAGTGAGTGTGTGGACTGCTCGGGTTATTTTGCTGGGTCTGGGAGGCTGTCTGTTTCCAGGGTTTCCGCTGCATTGTGGGCTGCTGCTGCTGCTGCTTTGGTGGTGATGTGGATGCAGCCTTTTAGAACGTTTATGTTCAGCTATTATTTTGGCAGGCTGCCAAAATTTACCTGAGGAACACAAGTAAGAGATGGGAAATAACAATTTACGAATTTTATAACTCAGCAAAACCTAGAGAGAATGTCATGGGACAAAGAAAAGGCATGTCTATGGTCTTATGGATTTCTCTTTGATGACTTGAAAAGCCCTGCTGCAAATATTAGAAATGCTGGAGCACCTAAAAAAAGTTGCAAGAATCTGTAATCGGGAGTGTTAAGCAATTGAAATATAGGGGTAATTACTAGCTCCCCTATAATAAAATGGATTTGGTGCTTTCCTAAAGGTTAAGAAGTGTATCTCTTTGCATTCCTCCTCCCTGTTGCTTTTCAATCAGTGTTTTTCAACAGCAGTATTAAGTTTGGAAAGTAGTCTAATGATTGGTCATTGGAAGGTAACTGCACATTCAAAAAAACAACAACAAGGAGTCCTTGTGGCACCTTAGAGACTGACCTCACACTTGGTAAGGCAACTCCCATCTTTTCATGTATTTATACCTGCTCCTGTATTTTCCACTCCATGCATCTGATGAAGTGGGTTCTAGCCCATTGAAGCTTATGCCCAAATAAATGTGCTTATGGCAGGAGGAGCCTGAAGTCTTTGTGGACTGAGGTTCTCCTGCCATCCCAGCTTTGTGGCCTTTTTTACTCCATCCCCACTTACTCAGGGAAGGGAAGAGGTTTCACAACTGAGCTGAGTCTGTGGGGTAGCTCAGGGAGGCCCTACCCCAAATTACTGTTTGGTTTGCGGTTAAATCTCTGTAACCTGGACTGGAACCAGTCAAATGCCTGGAATGTGAGAGCAGAGGGCAGGCAGTGTAGTGCTCCTCCCCAAGGAATAATTAATAAAACTGCGGTCTGCCATGTAAAGCCATCCCGGGAGTGTCAATAAAAGTGTCTGTGTGGGAAGGGAGAGTAAATGTGACACTGTGAGAGGGAGAGAATGGGTGAGTTATCTAGGTAGGTCTAGTTGTTGATGACAGGTTCACATATGTCCCAGCAACAACAGCCTATTTCTTAGGATGCCACCCTCAGACATCTCAGAAACACAAAGAAAAGAAAAAGTAACAGTTCTCCCTATACCTTATGCAAACACATTCAAATGCATTTTAAAGCATTAAATAGGCCATACAAGAAGACTACAAATAAGAAAAGCTTCAGTAGACACCTAGATAATCATAGTGTCCCATAAGATATTTTAATTATTTTTTAAAGAATCACAATTTCAATTTAAAGACATCGGAGATAATAAATTCTTTATTTTACCACATTCTCCCCATAAAAAATGTAAATGACTTTTCATATTTCTGCATTTGCAAATCCATGATTTCCACTGAAATGTACCTCCAGCCTTAGACATAACCCACCATTTACTCTTACTTATATTTCATTTATTTAATCTTCAGATTCTGCCTTTGAACACACAAGTTTCCCATTGACTTCAATGGGAACTGCACAAGCATACCCCCAAGGTAGAATTTGGCTTACTCTGTGTAAATGCTGTGGGTTCTAACGTTCATGAGTAATAAAATGATAAACAGTGGCCTTTTGTAAAGTTGTCCTAATTTAACACACTAAGTATGAGTACGTTCAAACTGCAGCTTTATCTTGTGGTACAAAGTTTTACACTTACATTATTTAAATATCTCTCAAACAAACTCAGTTAATGCTGCTGTTCACTATCCATTGCTATTTTTCAGAGTGCACAGTATAGATGTGTAATAAAATTCATTGCACTAAGCCTTCATATATTCCAAAATCATTATCTTCAGCAACCATTTTTCATGATATATGATAATGAAGTAATAAAATGCAAAAACCCTTTATCTAAAACACTTGGAATGTGGTTTTATGTAGCATCTGGGTTCTTCCATGCAATTTTTGATCTGTTTAGAGAAGCTGATTAAATTTAAACACGAAGGAAACAGCAAACTCCTTCTCAAGTGAAATGGCTTAACAACGCTTCAAGTAAAATATATGCCAAGTAATAGCAGATACTTTTATAATGAATTACAACCCCAAAGACAAGGTTCTTACAATACTTATCTATTTTCTTGTAGATCAGCTATAAGTCTAGATCTCTTTTCCACATTGAGGGTTTATCTTCCTAAAGAGTATATGATTACAGTAGCAAATATCAAAGAGAAAACTACACTCTCTACGTACATTACAAAAACATTGTCTGTCAGTGATCATGAAATTAATCAGCACATTCAGCATGCCAAGTAACAGTATTTCCCCTCAAAGTTATCTAGTAGGTCATAACTCTTATACTACTATTATTACCTGTACAGATTTGTGCTCATACTGGTGTTGACCAGTTTCCCATTTCTCAAATTGTTTCTTCACACTTGCTAAGCCACCAGGTACTGTACAGGTGTCTGATTCCTCTATAGCCTAGTGTAATAGATAAAATAGGTGTTATTTACCTGATACAGTAAGAACAGATGTTCATGGAAATAATTTTTTTCATTAGGGAATAGAAATAATTTGTGTATTTACCACTTAAATAACCATTGATTTCCAAAATTTATGTAGCCACTTAGTGATAACTTCCATCAGCATATTCTACAAGCTCTGCTACCTCATTGTATGGTAGATTCTATATTTAACTAATTCATACAAAATTTTGAATTTTTTTCTTGCTTCTCTGTAAGATACATTTTGATATCTGATATCTCACTATTGTTAGAACATATTGCAACTGTAGCTAGCACACAAACCCATGAATATTAGTATATGTCATAATAATAATAATAATAAATAGCATATTTCATAATAAAACAAACCCAAAATAAGGCTGTCAAAAATACTAAACATATAAACATTTAAGACTAGTTGTTAAAACATCACTGAGTCCCGGTGGGATTACTATCTCATTGATGTATAGAGAATAAAAACACACAAATAATAGACAGTCTATGGAATTCCCTTATCCAGAGCTTCTTCAACACCATTAACTGGTGGTATAGAAGAGGTGCTGAGAGACAAGCAATAGATCCTGTTATATCTATAAATCCTCTCTTCCAAAACTGATATCCAAGGTCCCAAAGGCCCCTGCATAATGCTAAGGATTAGTCATGTGTATCCAGCAATGTATAATACTGTTTGTATTTGCAAGGACTACTCAGGCATCAACACAGACAGGCTCAAACCTGCAGGAGGTGATAAACTTGGAGAACGGAGCAGTCATAAATTGAGATGCTGGTAGAACTAGAGGGCTACTTATTAAAAAACAAACACTTTGGCTTGCCCTGGAACAGTGCAGACAATGGGTTCCACCTCCTCACTCACTCTGACTGATAGGATGATGACCAATTACCATCCAGGTTTTTCCAGCTGTCCAGGGGGAATGTAAGCCTAGGTTTCAAACTACGGGTCAAGCCTAACCAAAACAACACAAAAAACGCTCCGCCTCTGCAGAATGGACCGAATGTTTATGATATTTATTTTGTAAAAACTCCTTAATTTTTCTTACAGGTAGATAAAAAAGAGCAAATTCACATGGTAAGGTGAAAGAGTAATTGCCGAATAATTTAATTAATACCTTTTACATGTAAAATTACCTTTTTAATCTTATGGATTCATATATTATGTAATATTAAATATGATGTTTTTTGTATTATTTAATGTACAAATACAAAATAAGCCTTGAAAAATTGTTGGCGCCCGCCACACTCTTCTGAAAACATGAATGTGCTACTGGCCACAAAAAGGTTGGGGACCACTGATTGTGATCCTCTAGTCTGACCTCCTGTATAACATAGGCCATAGGACATGTATACACATGACATTGTATATACAGATTAGTGCTGCGACATGACAGGTCAGCAGAACATAGGACAAATCTATGTCTAGACTAGTTTGTGACACCACTGTAATTTGGGTTACATGACTGCCAATTAATTTGAGTTAACTCACACCTTTTTCAGTGCTCATCTAGACACTCCACAAGCATTTGTTCTAGGACTCCATGAGCCTTGTATAAACCACAAATATTTGTGTCCTATCAACTCTTTTAATGTTAGCATACTCTTCTGGATCTGGTTGTTACATCAGTGTGACCTCTGTAAAGTGTTTAAGTGAACTTCTCAGGAAGGCTGGCAAGATAAAAATGGTAAAAAGTAGTTTGCCATTTTCTCTGGTTTTTAGTAGGAGGAAATCATTTAGGAAACTTAAAAAAAATACTCAGAGCTGTTAATTCCTTCCAGATATTTTTAAGGATCATGCAAATAGAGTGCAATATTTAGCATCTAAAGTCCAAAGTATCACAATTCACTTCTATTAAGTAGTTTTTTGATCATCTTTCTGTCTGTGCCCTTCTGCAAGGTTTCTGAGGTATTAATGATAAAGGAACAGGCCACTGAACCAAACATCATATGCCTGAGCTCCCACCAGCCTCACGTTTCAATTCTCTGTTGTTTCTCTTTCTGCAGTCCAGCATTTTACTACATTTTATAAATATATATAAATTGAAGTGTGTGTATGCACTAGTTCTCCTGTTCAAGGACAGGCTAGGTATACTTGGTCCTGCCTCAGCGCAAGGGGCTGGACTAGATGACGTCTCAAGGTCTCTCCCAGTCCTACTTTTTATGATTCTGTATCATTGTCCAGTTTAACACTGCAGTAATTTCAAATTCCATAGTTTGAGCAGCCAGAGTTAAGCATTGTTTTGAATACAATTTTATTACCTGCTGACTATAAAAATTGATAATAGTACAGAAACCTGTATTCTTCTATAATCATAATTGGTTTAGCAGAGTGGCTATGTTGCTAATCTCTCCTTTCTATGTTGATTTTAAATATTCCTAATAGATTTAGTGCATATAAGAGCAAAAAGAAAAACTGTACAACCAGTGAATTAAAATGAGCCTTCCAAAAGATCAGTGGTATGCAAACTCTTATTCATAAGAGACTGAAATGAACTGGTAACTTTGCTGTGTAGGTGTTCGTAATTCAGGTTTTTAATTTTGTTCTACATAAAGATAATGTGGGCAAAATAGTGCGACCGCTTTTGTGAATAAGTGAGCAGAATATAGCCCTGTGTAAACAGAAATAGCAAATTATGAAGACAATTATGAAGATAATTGTGATGTTAAATAGAAGGCAATATCTTACATTAGCACAGGAGCTGCTGCGCTCTACTTTGGACACAGCTGCTTGATACATAGCCATTCTTTCCTTCAATGAGACAGAATCTTGGAAATCCAATGGCACACTATCACTCCAGTTCGTGTTTTCTTCTGAAAATCCACTTACAGGTTTGTGACAGCCAGCAATAGCTAAAAGCAAACATAATATTTCATATTAGGAGGTTTATTTTTATTATTAAATACCTGCTTTTTAGGGCTGAAAGAAAAGAAAAACTGTCTTCAAAAACAGATTGCAAGAGTTAACAATGGTATCCAATATCTATGGCAATATTACATCAATTCCAACTTATAATGTACGAACTGCAGATAGTAAATTATGGCTTTGAATCAGGTCCAAAGTGCTCAAGCTTTCTTCCAGTGAAGTCAACAGGCATTTCAATGGAAACAATGATGTTTCTTATTGAAATAAATATCACTTTTTTAAAAACTCTACTAAAATAAAGACTTTTCAACAAAAAACATTTTTCTTGATAACCTAGCAAAAATATGTGGTCACCAGAAAACTTGAATATATATCCTTTTACACTATAAGCAAAACCACTATAACGCAATACATAAGTTATAATGGGGCAAATTCTATTTTAATCAATTGGGTTGCAAGGGAGTAACTCAGAGCAGAATTTGTCTCCAGTTTATTCATTTACTATTAATTATTTTGTCTGCACTAGAGTATTAAAACCTCTCTGATAATTAACTACTTTGACCACACTCATAATGAATACAAAACCAAGTGAGTGTACAGCAGCTGAGCATTGCAGAGGTTTTCACTTAGACTATTACTTTTACTCTGAAAAACTGCGTATAAAATGCAACACCTAAATTGCTGTGACTTCCTCAGTTTACATTGCACCCACAAAGTTGACTCATTTCCATTAAAAATGTGAATTGTCTCATCATAGCCTACTTATTAGCTCTTTCAAGATCTTCACTTGATATTTCGTCCATATTATCTAAATCTCTACATTAGGTGAAGAAGATTTATTCCCTTCAGTAGAAGACAGCTTACTTTGAAATTTTCACCTTAATAATTTTGCAGATGACCAAAAAAGTTACTTTGATATCTTCATATATTAGCAAAAAGAACAGGAGTACTTGTGGCACCTTAGAGACTAATAAATTTATTAGAGCATAAGCTTTCGTGGGCTACAGCCCACTTCTTCGGATGCATATAGAGTGAAACATATATTGAGGAGATATATATACACACCATATATTATATCATATATTATATGATATAATATATTATATCATATATTAGAACACCCTACAGTAACTGGTTCTTCAAGATGATGTCATCAGTGGCCTCATCTTTGCTGGTTAAAAAAGGTGCATTCTTTACCTTAGGGGTAACTAATGTGTCTGAGCTATCCCGAGGTAAAAACACAGTAAAGACAAGGCACTTTCATTTTACCATGAGGTAAACTAGGCAAAATCAGCACTGTATGTACACCTCCCCCTGGGCTGACTTCACCTAGTTTCCCTTGCAGTAAAACTAAAGTGCCTTTGTCTTCACTGCACTTTTACCTTGGGGTAGCTCATGCTTGTTAGTTACCCTAAGATAAAGAGTGCTCCTTTTTTAGTAGTGAAGACAAGGCCAGTGTGGATCACACTGTAGATAAGCGAGCAGTGAGTCATTTGTGTGACAGAACGACATTGATCAAAACTAAAAGCTAAAAACAATAAGGGCCTGTGCCTGTTGGAAGTTTCTACTTTCTGTCTATTCAGTATGCATCTCTTAGTATTTAAAATGGTTGGATATAGACAAAGGTTTTACAGCTTCTCTTCAACTTTATCAGGAATTTGTGCCTGCAGTATCTTACTCTCATTTCTTCCTGTAGTATATCACCAGGGAAGATCTCATGTTCAAAGCAAAATTCCAGGATGTAGAGAATACTGCTTGAGAGCACATAGTGCTGCTTTGCTATTGCTTCTGTGAACATACTGCAACCTGACTGCATAAAATAAGCCGAATGGTTCATGTTTCATTTCTCTGGCACTTGTAAAATAGTCATATTTTTCTCAGTGTAAAATCATTGCAATCCGCCCTAGAAACTGTCATGTCATATTGGCAGGTGAAATGTAGAGAACAATTAATTTAATTCAAGAGCAAGTACCAGTACATCTATCTCTTTTATTATTTCTAATTCCACATTTCCATTATACAAAAACTGCTTTTTGAGAGTCTGTACAAATTAATAGTAAGAGACTCGTTTTAATAATAAATAGGCTTCTTAACATGCTAGCTGCAAATGGCAGTGCCTTTGTGCAAGCCAGCACATCAAAATCCAAAATTGTAACTAGTTTAAAAACTATAGTTAAATTAGTCCATGCAGATTTCTGCTCATGTTCTGAAATTTCAAAACCCCATGAGGGTCAAATTTGGTATCAGATATATTACCATAGATTAGTGGGAATTGCATGTGTGAATATTAGGGCAGAATTTGCCCTTGAATTTTTTAAGATAATTTTTAAGCAAAAATATTGAAGAAGAGTAGCCTCTAAGCTTGTGAAATATCCAACCTAAATTTAGGTGAAATAAATGGTTAAATGAGCTTAATGAATCAAGTCAATTTTTTCCAAAAAAATAAATCTACTTAATTTTTCTTTTTGTTTTTAAATATAAAAATACCATTTGAAAACTAGACATAGTATCTAGATTTGGTTATGACACAATACCTTAATGAAGGTAGAATATTCCTGTAAATGGCAAATAAAACTGAAAGTTGCTGTGGAACAAAGTTTTGCTTTTACAATGCAGCTCAGGTACTGAATGTCAAGTCAGAGACAGATAATATGATTAATTGAAGTGAGATTTGCACTCATAATGAAATTTAGGAAATCTAGCCACAGCAGCAGCAAAACAGCTGCAGAAATGGGCTTACAGTAGAGAGAGAGAGAGAGAGCGCATATGGCTTTGTTTACTTTTATCTGGATGAAGGTGCAGTTCAAGGAAAATCTGGGAAGGTGAAGACCTTTGTATATGAACATGGAGCATGTACGATACTTTCTAAAGCGAGACAAGAGGATAAAGGACTTGTAGGAAGCTTTGCTTTGCCACTTAATACTCTCATTTCACTTCCTGCAATTATTTTCATTTAATAAAATCATTTGATGTGCTGTTTATGGAATTTTTTTACTGTCTGAATGTAATAATGGTTTTGTTTTTTCTAAATGATATTGGAATACTAAAACCCAAGTGCCAATCACGGAGATAATCCACAAATTAGTGCTATATAGTCATGGTGATTTCCCTATTTGTCATCCCATGTACCTAGTAGTAGGGCAGAACCCTAAACAAACAATCCCTGTGATATGTATAGTTGCTTTGGAGATGCTCACTGTAAAGGAAAATATTTCACATTTTCATATTCTACAAAAGATGAAAATAGCGTTAGGGCATATGATTCTAAAGAAAGAACCTAGTCCTTGAAATGCAATTAATCTGCAGTTTTGAGCAGGACAAGAAGTCTCCCTTGTTACGAAGGATTTGTCCTTGGTTTTTCAAAAGGCGTATGAATGCAATCTAGTCCCTTAATTGCTGAAGGAGAAGCAATTTTATGTTATATAGAGGAGAAATGTGTATATGTGAATAGCTTATTCTGTATGGCACACAATAGGAAACATGTCCTCCTTCTAGTGAACTCTTGGGGAAACACACCAGCCTGAGGAGACTTTTCTATACCTATCAGAGCAAGAGTCTGTGTAAATGGACATTTCCTATTCAATTACATTTTCTGGGATTTCCTTTTATTAATTGAAAGTTACCGACACACTTCTTCAGTTATTAAGGAGAGAGGGATTCCTTTCTGCTAGTCTTTTTAGTATTTATCAGAATATAGTAGAAGAAACACACCTGACATACACATTTACACAAAGGGCCTTCCTTCTAAAATTAAAGCATTGTATCAGTCCACAAAAGCAAGAACATCTGCTGGACATGGTTATTTTATTATGATTATTTAAGCCCTATGTTATCTCACTGGCAGCTAGGCATGGTCACAATTATTTTTTTTAAATGCATACAAATACAGAAAGCCATTCTCAAAGGTAACCTAAAAACTACTGCTACTACTGTGGCAAGGAATGCACCTGAAACTGGAATGTGTAATCCAGGGCCATGAAAGTTAAACCAAAAACTTAAACAAAATAAATATACCTTATATTGTGCCCTGAAGACCAGAAAAGCCAGGGCCTGATGGGACCTCTTTAGGGGTGGAGTCTTAAAAAGACCCTTCACTTAGAAAGTTCTGACACTATTCCTACAACATTCACTCCTAGGAACTGACAAGACAGATAATGTTAAAGACCATGGGCTGAATCCTGAAGTCCTTACTCTGTTCTGACTCAGGCAAAATTCCCATTGAAGTCAGTGGAAGTTTTACCTCAATAATAACTTAAGAATTGGGCCATATGTTCTTAAGCAAAACCAATTATTCTGTATAGCGCTAGTGTCTGAATTTGTACTCCTGCAAATAAAGCAGACATGAATACACAACAGGCAAGAAAAAGTAATACTTACCACATATATAGCACTTTACAATTTCAAAGCGCTGTACAAACATTAATCTAATATATGAGAAAAGTAGTATATTGTCATGTGTTAACCATAACAATATGGTTGTAGTATGAGTTTATTGCTCACATAATGCTGACTGTCTCAGTTTCTGCATGGGTTGTCCGCTATTACTCAAGTGAAAGCATCTGTCTTTTTCAAAATACAGGACGTAGTAATCTTCCTCATTTGTTCTACTTCTACATATTTTACATCTTCCTTCCAGATTTTCCATCTAACCTTCACTGAATACCTGAGTTATATGAACACCAATTTTATGTCAGAAATTTAAAAATGGGACGTTGAGCAATTTGTGTAATTTTCATGAAGTCTGGCCTTGCATTGGTTATCATTCTGTGTGGATACCGCTCTGAATGTGGTAGCTCATGTTAACTACCTCCCACCTATGCTCAGGGATTCATAAGTCATCCATAGGGATGTGCTGGGGGTGGGATTTAGCCCCAAAAGTATTTCACTCGAGTTGGCATATGAAGCGAATGCATGTTCCTTGCTCCATTGCCCGCATATATGTAACTCAGTAACAGAGAGTGTGGAAGCAGGAGTTTGGAGCACCTCGAAAAAAGCAGCATAAGCGTATTAGCACCAAAAATACTTTTGTTGACGTTTTTCCTGTTCCCATCAGTTCACTAAAGGAATTGCATTTACCTGACAAGATGCCTTAAAAATGCATCTTCATGACAGTTTTCCTTCTTGTAGATAAAGATGAAGAAAATATGATGTGAGCACCTATATTTAACAGTTCAGATCTAATACAATCTTAGTGCCTGGACATTTCACTGGTTCTGCTAGGGTTTTTCTGCACTGCACTGGAAAATTTGATTGAATAATGTTGAGTCCCTATAAATAGGGCACTCCATTCCTTCAGGAAAGGGAGAATTGTAAGGGTCCAAGAATATAAATATATATATATATATATATTTAGTAAAGTCACTGGAATCTAGCTATTAATCCCGATTCTTGTACTGGACATAATATCAGAGCATCCCTGAATCCCTCCACGTCTCCTTTTCCCTGGATAATGTAAGAGAGGGTATATGTACATCAAACCTGCCTTACTTTAAGAAATGCATTGTCTGAGGTTACAGAAACAGGTTTCAGGTGAGATAAATTTGGGTCCAAAGTGATGCTCAGTGGCCAGAGACAAGAAGCTGTGTTTTTAAAATTCCCTTGTATTTCTTTTGAACTTCTCAAAGATGGCGAGGTGATTGACTTGACCAAATGTCTTTCCCTTTTCCGGGTCTCTGCAGAATTTACTTAGAAAACTTTAGTAGAGTACAAGAAAAGTTTGTCCCTGAGAAAAAAGTAAACATACACATAAATTACCTCAGAAAAGATTACAGTGGCATAAAAGCCTTTAGAACAGATTCCCATAACAATATGCTGTCTGAAATGGTACAAAGCTTCCTTTTCGTTGATTTGAACTATAATGGACTTGTTTAGGGTTTCGGTTACTATATCTCAAGGATGTGAAAAGGTGGTACTGTAAATGTTTAGAGTCTTCATCATCAATGTATAACCAATATGCTTAAAATCTTCACCAAAAGAAACTGTGTATGTTGAGTGCGATGCTGGTAAGTCAAGCAGGTGCTAAAAATTATTTTAGTACTTCTCATCCTTATCACCACTAGTTTGACCAAAATACCTCTTCATCTGAAACATACTGCACCCTTACATAGCTAAGAGAAGTGATAATCATAACAATAAATTGAAATTAGGAGCAGAATACACAGATTATTCTCTCCTGTAATAATCAGCCAACTTTATCTAGGGTTGATCTAGTTTTTTTAAAGCCGGTGTTATAATTTCCTCCTTTTCTTTCACTCTCATAAATTAACCCTGCAAGAGTAACATAATCAGACAGAGGAACTACAGGGCAAGAATTTATACTGGTTGAAGCACTCACATTACAAATAGAGAGGGGACAGATTGAAGTATTCAACCCAGGATTAATCCAATCCAAAAGGTATCAGAACCTAATACCATAAAATGCAATACAAGGTGGGAGAGAGAGAAAAGAAGGGGCAGTGTGCATTCTGCTAGCTATTAAAGCTTACTAGTCCAGTCATATACTCTTACACTGCTCACATCCTGTCTTACTCATTGTGAGCATGCTTTGCCGCTCAACTTCGCTGTATCAGAACATTTTCTCAGCTATTTCGCCTTCTAAGGGCTTAAGGGAGAAGACAACCTTGCATAAATCTCTGGAAGTACAAATAACAATACATAAGAACTTTCCATGTACTTTGGGATGGATGAAATTAGGTGATATATCGTTCCATCAATTTTTAAGCAAAGCTGCCTATTCATTTCTATTTATCTCAGAACTGTCGGAATGACACAGTCCATGAAATGACTATAACTTAGGGTACTTATATGGCTCCCTTTACCATATTATACGAGCAGCTG